ATGCAACGCAACGCGTAAAAATACAGTATAAGTCATTATAATCCGTAATTATGTCCCCATTGGATGCAACAAATGCCTCGTTTATAATGGGTTTTAATGTTTTTGTCTCTTTGCTCCGGCCGGGACATGGCATCACAATATGGTAAGGGGCGTAACATTTCCATCACATGCTTGAGGTATTCGGCCAATCACAACGCACTGGATAGCTGTCCAATCACAGCACACCTCGCTTTTCAGACCGATGAGCTTTGTAAAAATCGATGCGTTTCAGAAAGGCGGGGCATAGAGGAGAAACAATAATGTACAGTATGTGGAAAATAATGTGATTTTTTAACCTTAAACCGCATAAACACATTTTATTACACCAAATACACAAAATAATGTTCTTTTTAGTAACATCATATGACCCCTTTAAGTAATTCCCAAAAATTATTTATTTATTTATTTATTTATCTCTGTCCAAAATTTCCAGCAGTCTTTTTTCAAATTAATCATTTATTTGCTTATTGAATAATGATAGATAGATAGATAGATAGACAGATGTCTTATTTTACTTTATTTCCCCCCATCATTCATTCATTCATTCATTCTATAATCTGACTCAGAAATACTCTTTGTTGACACATTACATATTGAATAAAGTAATAAAAACACATTGCATTATTTAACATAGATTTATAAACATCCATACTTGATACATTATTATATACTGTATAATACACACAAACACACCATTTTTTTATGTTCATGTTTTTGCATGGTTAATGGTTCAGCTTTGTGAGCTGAGTCTAGTGAGGGGGGAAGTATACACATGAACGATGATTGTTCTTATATGGAGGTCATTGGTTTAGTTTTTTTTCCAGCAGTAAATGAAAGGCAGCAGTTATAGTGATTGTTCAGAGGTGAAGCTAGAGAACTCTATTCTGTGATATCTGAACATACAGCGTCAGAGGAGAAAGCACTGGCCTGTCGGTCCAGCTGTGCTACTCAGAGTCATTTGATCAGTGTGTCATCTGATCTGTTTGTCTCATCAGCATTTTTAACAGTTTCTCTTCCTTTCAATTTTAGGCCATGAACTTGGTAAGTGAAATGTTTTGTAGTCTGCTTTGCCCGCAGAGCTTTATCCACGCAGACGCTCATCTTTCAGTTTGCGCAGTTCAGTGCTTTGGCTGCCAGTGTCACCCGTCTCACAGTGTGGATGAATTGAGCAACCACTACTACTGTTCTCCATTTCAGTTTTGGCTTACATTTTTATTTGTTATAGCTGCAAACTCGGAACGCTGCAAAGTATTTTAAAAGTGTTTTATTCTGTGTCATTAATTGTAAGTTTGTATTATATCAATGTTCTTTTGTTAGTGTGTTCTATAATAATTGAGTAACTTTGTATACTAAATTCAGACATGGACTTAACTCTAAAAGGTGGTTTCCATTGCATTCTTTGGCAATGTTTAAAACACTTTATCTGTGACAATTTCCTGGGTGGGACACTTTCAGATTTCTGTCTCCTTCATTCTGTCTTAATTTATTTTTTTTTGGTCTTCTTTCTGTCAACTGAACGGCACTGCCTTTACATGCAGTGAATGTTTATGCTGTTCAGGTTTTCTGTGTGATATTGTATTTTGTTTGGGTGGCTGGATTCAAATGCGAGCACGATATCACACATCACATGCCCTTTGAAGCATGATTTTTGCATGTTTGTCTAAACCATTTAGTTTAGCATGCAGATCTTGCACTAAAATTACACTAATGTTCAAAAGTTTGGGAAAGTAGACTTCTCACTGAGGCTGCATTTATTTGATCAAACATAAGGTAAAACAGTAATATTTTGATGAATTTTGAATATTGAATAAATATTGTTAAAAATAACTGTTTTCTATTTGAATATATTATAAAATGTAATTTATTCCTGTGATGCAAAGCTGAATTCCTCCAATCTTCAGTGTCACATGATCCTTAAAATCATTCTACTATGCTTCTATTGTTATATTTGTATTATTATGTTGAAAACAGTTGTGCTGCTTAATATTTTTGTGGAAACCGTGATACATTTTTTTCAGGATTCTTTGATGAATAGAAAGTTCAAAAGAGCAGCATTTATTTTATTTTTATTTTTTTGGTCAAAGTCAATGTCAAAGTCTTTACTGTTATTAATATTAGTAAAAATATTGATTCCTTTTCTGAATTTATTTACCGATCCTCAAACTTTTGAATGGTAGTGTATATATTTTTTAAATCTGCTTTTCATAAAGATGTATGTATACTTATAAGTATGCTATTAATAATATGTATACATTTCTTGACCTTTTAATTGAAACCATAACTAATATTATTGTTATAGAATGCAGATTATTAGTTAGACATTAGTAATACAATATAATATAATTCATATTGTGTCTATATATAATTTATATAAATATAATTATATAAATACATGATATTAAAAATTATTTTTTACAAATCCAATAGATTAATTAATCTTAGATATGGTATTATGAAAGTTCTGATGTTTCTTTCAATCCATGGTTGTGTTCCAAATGGTTCATCTTTCTGCCCAGTAAAACTGTGCATCTAATGAGCTTTTCTTGTGTCTTTCTCAGGATCAGGCCTCCAAAGACAAAGCCCTGCAGAACATGGCCGCTCTTTCCTCCGCTCAGATCGTTTCTGCCAGTGTGATGAAGAGTCAGCTGCCTCCTCTTCCTCAGCACCATTATCCTCCTCCAGCCCGGGTTAGTTCAGAGTTTAAGTCACCCTCTTTTGACCAATTCTCTAGCGTAACCTTCAAACTCACATTGTCCTCTGTTTTGTTGTCTAGTTTTGGCCCGGCCCCATCCCAGGACAGCCTGGACCTTCTCAGGAGTGAGTATTTCTGGCATCTGATCTAAACTCAGTGTTCTTGTGAGATCCTGCTAAACTTTCTCTGTGTTTTTCTAGCATCAAACCCTTTGCACCGAGTCCATACTCCACCCTTCAGCCTCCACTGCCTCCACCCATATCAAGTAAGAGCGGTGCTGGGATTATATCAACCCTATACTGAGCTCAGACTGACCACCCGGCCTAAGCCAGCATGTTTTCTCGACAGGTTATGAGCAGTTAACCACTCCGCACCCCACGAGCGCCACTGCCATGCCTGTGTGGCAGGACCGGACCATTGCCTCCTCTAAACTGCGCATGCTGGAGTACTCGGCCTTCATGGAGGTCCAGAGAGACCCTGACACTGTGAGTCTCACTACTGCAGAGTAGGGCTGGGCGATATGGCCTAAAAAAAAAATCCGATTTACGATTTAAATCTATTTTTTCCCCTACTTAAAATCAATCTTCAGATGACAAAGAAATTGTTCAAAACAAGTTTTAACTTTATTTTGTTTTGATTTTCCCTTCTGGGATTTGATCTGGATTTCCCCCTTGGGGTTAAAGTGCAAACAGAAACAACAAGCCAAAAAGACAAGATGGCAGGCCCTGCCATTGTAAACAGTGAAAATGCAACATAACGTAACATAACATAAAATGTAACATAACATTCTTATCATACCGGATACAGTTTGTAAATGTTTGTAAGATTGTAGGTCAGTGGTCTTCACAATTTTTTTCATGGGAGCCGCACTGATACGGCAAAGTCAATCAGAAAAAAAAGCAGGATTACCTTAATGCTGGAAAGACCTTAAGTTATTTTTTTTTATATACTAGCCCATCATGTATCTAACCATCCAAGTGCACATTCGAAGTTAAGAGATTAAAACTGGCAACTCCGCAGTTATGCCGAGTTCACACTGCATGATTGTAGCCCGATTTTTCACTCGCCGACAGGTTTCGTGAAATCGCTGACAAATGCCCGAAATCGGAGGCAAATCGGTGCTCGAAAATCATGCAGTGAACTCGGCATAAGTGTCATGGACGTTGGACAGAGCAAGTGTAAATATCTTTTCTAGTCTATTTTTCCATCTTGTAATGCCACTGTTTTAGGAATTTTTTTTTTTATATATAAATTATTATTTGTAATAGAGCAGACACTGTCTGACCGTGTCTACACACCGGACGCGGCGACAGTTGTTTTGCCGCGCCCCGCTGCGCTAGAAGTCTGTGTACACTTGTTGACACTACAGTTGCAAATCATCTGAACGTAGTGTCAGTACAGTTCGTCATAAATAGAACGAGGCATCAGTTTACTGATGGGGATCGTGTCGCGCCGCATTGCGCCGCATCCAGTGTAGACAACATCACTGGATCGCGCCACTCGCGAGCGGTGTAACGTTAGACATGAGTTTTTTTAATGGGTTATGTTATAGCCCTGCTTGTTTTTAGGAAATATCTGTATTGACTGCATGATCATATCATCGTATTATTTACTGCCATGCAAGCCACAAAGTAAAGCTTGGCGAGCCACGCAATAAGTAACACTACTGTAGGTTGGTTTTTGGCGGGTGTGCTTGTGCTGCCGCGGTCTTGTTCATTTCGTAGGGCGCAACATCTCTCTCACTCGGCAGCATGCCTCTGTTTGAGGTGCTGCAGTAAATTGGTCGTACTGCTAACGTTACCTTTGCTAGCAACAGACTTCAAACACACTTTGCAGCAGGGTGTTGTTTGTTCTGCATCTGTTTCAATTTCAATTTCAATTTCAAATTACAGATGACACTGTGCCTTTCTTGGGAACGAGTTCTTTCCTGCTCGCTGCCATGTTGTTTGTGTAGCTCTATGGCAAATGCGTGGGGGGAGGGCTGAACCCATTCGGAACCATGGGAGCCCAGAGGGGAGCGTCGGCGGATGTTTAAGAGAAAACCGATTTTCATTCAAACAAATCGACGTAAACTACACATTCGAGTTAATCGATAAAATCGATTTATCGCCCAGCCCTACTGCAGAGTATATTAGATACTAATGCTAGCGTGTTATGTGGTTTCTGTGTTGTTCTGAATGGTTTTAGCATGTTAGCATGCAGTAGGGTGTTCTGGGTGGTTAAGCTTGTGCTAAGAGTTTCTAGGATGTGTTTTAAAACATGATAACAGCATGCTAGCAACATGCTAAAACAAACAAACACACACACACATACACAGTGTTGGGAAAAGTTACTTTTAAAAGTAATGCATTACAATATTGCGTTACTCCATAAAAAAGTAACTAATTGCATTTCTTTATTTAATTTTTAATGGAAAGTAATGCATTACGTTACTTTTGTAGTACTTTTTGTCACCTGAGCTGGGCTTGCTTAATAATTTTTTTAATAACAAAAAACCCAAATGTTATATTTTTGGCTACTGTATGGACCCTTTCACTCCAAAAGTAAAATTAATAAGCCTCAGGCTGAATAAAGTGCCTCTGTCTCTGCACCTGTGTCAGTGAACAAATGGGAAAACAAAAATACTTGCATTACTTATTTGAAAAAGTTACCCCCAGCACTGCATATATATATATATATATTAGGGCTGGGCAAGTTATGAAAGTGCGTTGCTCACTGGCTCTGAATACACATACAGACAAACCATGGGTCACAGGAGGGGTGTGATGTTGATCAGTACTGGCTTGGGATGGGTGTCATCATGCGTCTCATCCAATGAGAGCATTTGGGGAGGGCCTAAGACAACAGCGCTCACATGAAAATTATTTAGGCTAAGCATCAACATTCACAAACCACTGTTCACTGTTATTTTTAACAGAAAAGAATGCAATGAGCTCGTAATCACGACTTCATAATTGGGAAATAGGAAGTTTCCGACAGCACGTGAAGGTAGGAGAGAAGCGCTCTCACTCAGCACAGTAGAGTGCATCGTTTTGTTACCTCTGTGGTTTATTATTTTGAGTCGTTTGGGACGCCGTAACACACGGCCCTCTCACAATATATTGCTTTACAGATCTATCACTCTTGCTGCTCAGAAATGTAACGCGCAATCATGCTGCACGCATCAGAAGTTCCGCGCTCCGGCACTACATGCGTGCCGCGCCCGAGCCCAACTAAACCACGCTCTGGCCCACCTCTTCAGACCGAGCCAGGGCCGGCTAAATGAACCGTGCCCGAGCGCAGCACGGAGCGATCACACTAGTCAAACGAACCGGGCTTTGGGGGTTAAACACGCTCCGGAACGGTTAATATTGCCTAGTGTGAGTACACACTTTTATTCTCCCGCCCGCACCCACACTCGCACATCAAGTGTTGTCCTGCGCCGCACTCTGCTGCGTTGGGTCCCGCGATAGTGCAGGTCTCTAAGGTGCCTGTTATAATGTTATGATTGAGGCTCTGGACTCGGAGCATAGCATGTTTTTCTGTAACAAACTATAAAATATTTTCTATAAAAACGTTAATGCCCTGGCAGTGGCAAATAGCTTTGGTTTTATATTTAATTTGATTACATTAATGTTAAAAGTTTAGATTTACAAGAAATATTTTAACTGGTACTATGTAAAAGGAATACTGCTGTAAAAAA